CAATTGCTCTCTTACAACACTAAACTATGTTTTCTACCTTTATCTTGCATCTACCTACCACTTCAGCAGTTTATTAAAAATAAAAATAATAATAAAGGGAGAAATGTGGGATCCACATATAAATCAAGTATAAAAATCAAACAAATATTCATAAAAAAATAAAATAAAATAAATATACCTTAAACAAGTAAAAATAAAACCAACAAAAATGGGTAGGAGACGTGTGAGTAGGGGATGCACACGTTTCACTGCTTTATATTTCATACAAAGGAAAACTGAAAATGTATACAATTGAAAAATGTAGTTAAAAACAACATGGTTTTGGCAACCTTTGGGGGGATTTAGATAATCTATTTTTTTAATGGAACTCTTGGGATGTAATATTTCTTAGGATGAAGTTTCTTACAGATTTAAGTAAAACTAAATCAAGTATTCTATTTAAAAAGATTTTGTAAAGTGTGATCCCAGTCTTATGAAATGTTCTGTCCATTTATACATATATTTGCCATTCTCCTTCCTTCATCCATTCATCCATGCTTACTTCTATCTGCAGATGGACATACACATGAGAAGTATAGAATGTGCACCCAGTTTGATACAACTGTTTCTGGCTCAATTATTGCCTTCTTTTTACTTATCTGTATTTTGGAATTTTTAAATAATGAGGAAGTATCTTTTGTGACAATAAATTTACTAGTCTAAAAATAAAAACATAAGAGTTAATGGCCAAAGAAAATCAATTTAGAATAAAAAGGAAAACAACCACATAACAGGTACGGCTAGCTGCCAAACTCCTTTCTCCTTGATAAAAGAAACCTAATTTTGCCCTGAGCAACAATGTGCCCAGTTAAAAATATTCATCTCCCTGGACTCCATGCAATTGGGGGAGGACATGAGATCAAAGTTCTGGCCAATAAGATGAAAGCAAGTTTCCTCCACTGGGCTTGGGAAGTGACTATTTTCCTGAATTAAAGTTGATGATTTAACTAGCACAAACCTTTTACCTTTTGCTTCTCCTCCTGACAGGGCCTGAAGGTTGGGTAGTCATCTTATTAACAATGAAGACAAAAGTCATGGACTAAGGATTTTGTAGCAGTAAAAAAGGGATCCGATTCCTCGCACGGTTGTACCACCTCTAATTGTCTATCCCTGGCTTCTCTGATGCATGAAAAAAGCAGCCTTTTATTTGAGGACGCCCCAGTAGTCGGTCATCTTTCCCATCTTAACCAATGTTGATCCCAAGAGCATTCTCTAGACTTTCTGTACACTACTCTCTATCTGAGAGCTGCTTCTCAGACAACCCAACCTGCATAACCATCCCAAAGGAATTACAGTTCTGAATAAAACTAAAATTGTTGTGGGCAATTTTACAATGAAAAGAGATTTTTAAAATTCATACTTAATAGTCTAATGAGAAAAAGTAACTCAGTATAAAAATAATCATGGTTTATCACTGTATAATCTAAAATTTAGTGATGTGTTCTATTTTTATTTTGGTAGTCACAAACACTAACATTTTGAAATAGGGAAAAACACTCATAAAAATATTATTGTCTTCAACTATCAACCTCTACATCATCCCCCTCTTTTCTTTTCCACCTACTGTGACATTACTTGTGTCTTCATTCTTAGTAATTTCAATATACTCACAGGTGAAACTTGCGACCCCCTGGCTTCTGGCTCCTTATACTTCTCTCCACCTAGCTACTTATGCCCACTGGCATACTCTGTGTCTTTTTCTATTACCAGTAAATCACTCCTGATTCTCAGTCTCTGGCATTTACTCTCTATCAATCCTGTCTCCCACCTCCCTGATACCTGGATTCCAAGAACCCTTTGACCCCACTGGGACCCACAGTCTATTGTTCCTACCTGTCTCACACTGTACCACACCACTTGATGTTCCCTTCATTACTCAACTTAAATTCCACATACATCATTAGCCCTGTCTTCCTCCTTTCAGTTGGCAAAAAACACTCTGATCTCATCTCCTACAATCCTCTTTGCTTACTCTGCCCTAGCCACATGGGCTTCTCTGCTGTTCCTTGAACACGCCAGGCAATCTTTTGTACTTTAGGACTTCTGCACTATTTCATCTTTCTGGAATATACTTCCCCTAGTTATCCACATGGCAACTTTTTTATCTCCTACAAGTCTTTGTTCAAATGGCTCTTTTTCAATGAGGCCCACTTTGCCTACCGTATTTAAAATTGTAACCTGCTGGGCTCTACCCCTAACACTCTTGCTGTACTTTCCATTTTTCTTACATATAACATCATTTTCTTATTTATTACGCTTCTTGTTAAATGTCTGTCTCTCCTCATCAGATGAAAGTTCCACAAAGATGGGAGAGGGTAAATATCTCTGCCTATTTTGTTTACTGATGTATTGCATGGGCTTTAACTGCCTGACCAAGGTAGGTGCTCAAAAAGTATTTGTTAAATGAATGAATTTGGATAAAGTAAACCTCAAAAAATGTTGGAGGTTAATTTATCTAAAATAAATAAATAATATTAAAAACAAAATTTCCTCTTCTTGCTCCCAAAATGTACAGAATGAACACTCCTAGAACATTAATGAAACATTTTCTTACTCCTCTTTATGATTCTAAAACTGAGAAATGTTCCAGGTGCTTTTTTTAATCTTAGGTACTAGACCCAATGGACGGTTAATTTCTAATGAGTAGATGACATCACAGACAGAGGTTCCACAGAAAAGAGACACAAAAGACTTCTTAGGAGAAGGGATTAGGGGTCCCTAGGTTAAGAACAGGAGAAAAGGATGCTTGTATTAATCCTCTACAATCATATTTCTGTCTCTCCAGAATAAGCAATCTACTCTCTGTTCTCCTTCATGCTGACAAAAATTAGCCCTAGGCTTCCCATCTCATATGCACAAGTTACCACAGCAAATACACGCCCACAAGGACAGAAGTAGCAAGTCATTAATGCCTAAAGGATTTTAAATGTAGTCAAAGTGGTCCTGGAATTCACAGTTGTAGGAAAAGGCCAGGAAAGATACTGTAAGCTAGAAATGAATTTCCAATAAAGGTAGCTCTCCTCATGACAAATATCACCACATAACAATGATAAAATTGGTCATTCATTCAATTTAATCACAAAAGAAAGGACAAAATGCTTCTGGTTTCCTTGCTCTCCCTTCTCCACTGGGGTCTAAAGGTAGCAGAAATGTTGGTCTGACCTGAACATTTCTATTTCTTTTAATAGCTGAATGGGCTTCTGAGTTGAATATAGTCAATATAAATGACTACATTAGGAAATAACAGAAATACTGTGATGTACACAAATGTGTATTATGTGACATGTAAAACATCCTGCCTCTCCAAGTCTATACTGAACTACTCTCCAGATAATTTCTGTATTGCAGTTTACCATTTGCATTCTGAATTGATTGTTCTTCTCTGGAAAACATTTTGGATGTTACAAAGCCAGCCAGATGAAGAGGGGTTTGAAACTCCCATCTTCTATTCACTTCCCACACTATGGATCTCACAGCAGGAGAGCCCAGAACTAATGACAAAAATCTCCTGTAAACTGAACCTTTCAGAAATGGAATGTAGTACCTTAAGATTAATCCTTCTCTATGAGTAAGGAAGGAAAGTTCACACAAGAGAAGGAAATAGGGAGAGGAAAGAACATGGAAAGTAAACTAATACACTATATGCACAGAATTCTATTATGAAAGGAATATATGATTACCTTTTTTCCTAGTTTGATTTGATGTGGGAATGGATCTCAAGTTTTTGCTTTTCATGTCCTTTGAAGTTTTCTTTTCAAGAGTAGAAAACGTCTTGAATGGGGAACTGGGTTTGCCATAGCCTGAGCTCCTAAGTGATGCATATAGTGCACTCTGGGGTTTTCTCTTAAGTAAAGGAAGGGCACTTCCAGTCTCCTTGTATGGCACCTGTTTACCAGTTACAGCCTCTTCCTCTCCAGAGCTGAGCTGAGATCTGTAAGTCTATGCACAAGTACAAACTTCAACTATAGTTGTAAACATTTAACAGATGGCAAAACCATAATGATTACTAAAAAACAATTTACAGAAGACAAATCCCTATGTTAAAATTCTCTAAGTCTAATTCATCAGAATTTTAGTATTTTGAAGCACATCTTCAAAGTCAGAACTAAAATAAGCAAAATAATAAACAATCAGCTTGCAGAAAGCAAGATGTGTAATTTACTAGTATGAACATGGAGGAGAGCAGGGATGAGCACATTTTGAAATGACATAAAATCTTATCTCTTTTCTCTAGCTTTCTCAAGATGAATGTTTATTAACACCCTGCTTTAACTACACAAGCTCTGGAGATGATTTATAATAAATGTGTAACTCAAAATTATAAAATAAAATAGAATATTGGAATCATGGAAACCATCAATCAGAACAGATCAAGAACAGAGAAAAAAGGAACAGTGAAATAAAAGTTCTCAACAGTTGAGAACAGCATTTATATGAAATGCCAACTTACATAGTATGTGCAGAATACAGACCTACTTGGGAAAACTGAGTAAAAAGCACTAGAATGGTGAATAAATTTTATTTTCTTATACTACTCAAATCCTAGACTATGTTTACTTAAAAAAGTGAAAAATAGAAAAGATGACTTCTAAAAGAAAGCTAATGTTATAGTGGAAATTTCCAATTTGGGGACTGCAAGGTGTTATAATAAATATTGTTCACAAACATACAGGATCTATATGGAGATTAGTGTCTAATTAATTGCATTAGCTTAAGAAATAATACAGACAATATTTATATAACATAATTTATCAAAATGTCAAATCTATTTAGATCATAAACACTTACTTTATTTAATTTGTCATCCTGAGGTAATAATGTAGGACCAACAGATATCTTTTTCTTCAAAATATCAAGGTACATTTTATCTATATGTTCTTCCATAGTATTTACTCTTGGACAGCTACTTTCTATACATTTGTTTGTTGTCATTTGTAAAACCACATTCTCTTGAGTTTTGTCAAAAAATTGGTTCCCAATTTGTGGCTCTTGAGATATAACATTTGGGTTCATATTCAGGGGTGAAGGGCTAACAAATTCAGTTTCTTTACTATCAGCCAATTTCTTACAGCTATAAAACAAAACAGTACATAGATAATGAACCCTATATGACTCCTCAAATATCAGTTTTATTAATACAATGCACACACACATAATATACATATAAATATATTTGTATTATTAACATATAATATTTAATGTATTTAATATTTGTAACTATTCAAATTAGGTCATTAATGTCAAATACATTATTTACAATTCTGGCCGAAAGTATATTCACATGGTATCATATAATTGCTTTAAATTTTAGATAATTCTAATGCAGTACAATACGAGGGATGACATGAATGACTGTGAGACCTACATCAAAGCAACGCCAAACCAAGCAAGACTGAGACTGCTTCTGTGCTAGAAAAAAATATAAATTTCTAAGTGGACTTTTTGTAGTATTTTTTTATCAATAATATTTTATAAAGTCAACATGCATTTGAGGCAGGAAAAATATTTTATTCATTTCTAGAAGAAACTAAAGAAGTAATTGTTATTTATGTTAATGAGGCATGGGGTATAAATATTAAAAACCATAAATTTCATCACAGTATAGAAAAACTTTAAAGTAGAACAGGAACATCACTAAGATTTTGAAATAAATCATTTCTGTGGTTTAAAACACCTAAATGCAATAGAACATTTCAGACAACTGGATCTTAAAACTATGGGAATCCCTTAAGGAAACATCCTAAATGTGGTTAAATATCAGCATATTCTGGGAGTTCCAAAAAATATAGTCATTGCTGCTTTCAAACTAATAATGGTCAATTAGATAATTTAATTTTATAATTTATAAAATGAGATTAAAAAAATTAATAGGTTACCATTTCCATAAAAGTAAGGTAGAATGGCTTTTTGGTAATTGTTAGAAGCCTTAAAGTAGCTAGAATCATTAGAAAATAAAATAATTCTTTCGCTCTTTGTGGTCGCAGAACCTGACTAGATGCTCATCAAAACTTGCCTGTGCCAGTTAAACTGCATTTCCTCCCTGCCTCAAATCTGGATGGGTCCGTTTTCTAGTCCTTCCCTTTAGAATGGGAGTGCTCTGGTGACAAGAACCTAAGATACGTGTTGTTGGCTTAATGGCTGGGTTTTGGACAAGGCAGCATACGAACCAGAGGCCAGAGGGAGGCAGTGCACATGTCACAGTGGCAAACATTTGTTAAACTGTCACCTGCAATAGTTTATGAGGCAGACCACATGGCTACAGAGTCTGGGGTATCAAGGAGAAATGGCAGGAGAGAACAGCGAGTTCTTAAGTGCCAGCTACTATTGGCTACTTTTGGCAATTTACGATAAGAAAGATGAGCTCACAATAGAGTGGGCCAGTCCGAGAGAAGCAATCAAAGGGAACAGAGAGTCTAGAAACTCAGGGTTTCTTAGGTTCACTCTGTGTCTAGGTTTAAACAGTAAGATTTGGCATTGAAAAATGCTATGAAAAAGCAAGATTTCATAAGACTTCTTGTTTGAAAAGAGTGATTCAGTTCCTAGGCAAAGATCATATTAAAGGTGTCATCTTCGCACTTAAGGTTGTTATTCCAACAACAGCCAGACAGCTGCAATTAAACTGAGAGAAAATAACAGAGGGACAAGAAAGCAAAGACAGAAAGCAGGTTTAAAACACCTTTGTCTAGCAAAAAGTTGTAACTGCAGTTGTTGGCACATGGGACTGAATGGAACCAAGTGGATCAGAAGCCTACTTAACTTTTTGAAGGAACTGTAATGACAAAGAAACCACAACCCTACTTAAAAAAAAAAGCCAGAGACTTGTTCAGGAGCTTTAACCCACCAGCGAGTAGGAAGTGACCACAGGAGGGCATCCTCCAAGATGGGCACGCCCACCCCCAAAAGCCCACTCCGGCTGCAGCCAAGGGTGACAAAATGCAAGACAAATCTGTCCCGGAGCTATACAGCTAGGTGCTATGTGGAACAATGTATTATAAGGCAGCTCCTTCTTAAGAGCAGAATAATGGCCTGATTATGGAAAATTCCCAACTTCAAAGTAGGAGGTCTTTATAAGGTCTTTCCAGTGGATTCTGAAGTTGCATTACTGACTGCATAAGGAAACCAAAATCAAAAGTTTCCTCAGAATTTCCCTTTCTGAATGGGAGTATTTGTTGCAGTTTTACATCATTGGGTGCGGGTGAGGAAGTCACTGCACAGCAGACAATGAGGAGCTAAATCAAGCCTGATGGAGAGGACTGTGCTTCACCTGGCAATCCTGGCCATTCACATGGACACAGCCCTGAATGGGACTTTGGGTTGTTTGCTTTGGGGATGGGATGAGGGGGTCTTTGTATGAAAAGAGTGAAATGCATACTTGGCTATTAGAAAGGTAGATTCTATAAAGACTGGCTAGATGCCTAACAAACTCGTATTTCACTTTTCTTTCTGAGCACGTAAGCAAACCCCATTTTCCAGCCCTCTTGGACCTTGTTATCTGGACATACTGGTTCTTGTCAATAGAATATGAGCTGCAGGGATACAAATGATTCTGTGCTGAGGCAGCTAAAAGGAAATATTCTAAGTCATTTTTTTTCTTTTTTTATCAACTGGTTGGTTGAGACCATAACAACCTTAAAACCATGTGTCGATGATCGAAGTAGTCTAGGTCCCTAAATGATGGTGGAACAGAGTCCCTCCCCAGCCCCACAGACACACATATGATATGAGCAAGAAATAACTTTCTGATGATGTTAAGCTTCTGAAATTTCAAGGGTTATTTGTTATAGCAGCTAGGATTGCCTACCCTACAGTTTACTAAAGAGTATTTGGATGTGTGTACTAAAGTTTATACTACTGACATTTCTATAATTATTGTTATGTCTTTAAGGTAAGTATTCTGGTTTTCAACTTCTTAACACAAGCATAAAAAACTATATTTAGAGTTCACATTACTAGCATGGTTCCACCTATGCCCACAAACACACACGAATACTAAAGTTTATACTACTGACATTTCTATAATTATTGTTATGTCTTTAAGGTAAGTATTCTGGTTTTCAACTTCTTAACACAAGCATAAAAAACTATATTTAGAGTTCACATTACTAGCATGGTTCCACCTATGCCCACAAACACACACGATGGGTAAAGAGAATCTCTTCAGTTACACTACCAGAACCCTAAACAGCAATCCTAAGTGGGCATAACCTGCCCCTTATAAATGCCAACGAGCACTGGAGGCCAGCAGAACAGCAGACTTAGCATTCAAGTGGGTGGGCTTTAGAGTAAGCTTCGCTGCATCATTTTCTCTCAACCAGCACAAATGCAGAAACAGGGCAAGCAACACTCCAAGTGATGCACACGATGGGGATATGGTACTAGTAGGGCCTCAAAATGTGTCTGTTGAAAACACAAACGAATGAATGAATATGTGAAAGGATGATAGGCTTTTGACAGAAATATTTCAAGGAGATCAGAGAACTGACAATATATGTGATTCACAACACAGATTTCTCTGGTTTTAGCCATGTCATCTTGAGCAATTTATTTAACTTCTTTAAGCTTTATTTTTCTTATCTATGAAATGGGGATAGGATAATGATGGAATACACTTCAGGGAGCTATTCTAAGATGAAATGAAATCTAATATGGAAAGCACTTTGTACAGTAACTCGCCTACTATAAAATGTGATAAAAATGGTAGCTATCATCATCTGGTTCTGGAGAGAGCTCCACCGCTGGACTGGTTCACTTCACTTTCATCACTTGAGTAACAGAGATAAAGATGCCAGAGGGTCACATGAGATAACGGATGTGATACCCTAAGCATTACACATATGTAAAACTGTCTTACGACAAAGTTGTTGTGAGGTGCTACTCTGTGTGCTGGAGAATAACAGCAAGGTCCCACAGGTTTCCTTTAAAGGGCACTGGAGCGGGAGCATTTCCAGGAAGCCCATTACTCTTGTGACCAAAGACTCACCTTGTGAGCTACTGGCTGGTCTGTGACTAAGTGTAAAATGAGCTGATTTATAAAGAAGGAAATCTATGACTCATATACAGAAGAAAATTCATGTTCCCTCTCACTGTTCAAATCAACTATCTGTCCAAGATATGTAAAGCTGAAAGGATTTTGTTTTTCAGTGAAAAGCTTTAAGACTACTTAATGGTAGCAACTTTTTTGGTAGCATCAGCCTTTTGTTTTAATTTTAGCATTAGAAGAATTTTGATGAACTAAGTGAGGACTAATAAAGAAAGCAGTGACTCACAGGTAGACTCATACAAGCTTCCCATTTATTAATCATTCACTAGGAATGATTAACTAGAACAAATGACTCTAAAATTTTTCAGTGACAAGGCAATAAACAAACAAACTGTACAATTCATTCCAAAAAACTCATACCTGACAGGTTGTAAGTCAAAACCACTGACTCCAAAGGAATTTATTTTCATAGGTTTCATCAGCTCCTCTACTGTGGGCAGATCTAAGAGGGGAAAAAAGTTAGAACAGCAACCAAAAATGTTTTGTAAATTGCTAAATTTTATGTCACCACCAAAATTACATTTTCTGATTGACACACTTAGCAAAATGTCATTAATAATAAGCCCCATTTCCCACTGTAAACTTGCTTGTACCAAAAAACCTCCTTTGATGTTTACATTTGAAATACATATGCGTATGTACTTGATAGATCTATACCATTTATGTATGGAATATCTAAATATTAAATGTATGTATATGGGTGTATCCACACACAATCTCTTTCTCTCTCTCTCTCACACACACAGACACACACACTTCCTAAATATGTATTTAGTTGACCCCAAAATACTGTTCTCTGTTCAAAAAGTAACTTCGGTACATGTACATGGAAAAGGGTAAAAAAATTGAAAACACTTAAGTGATTTCTTCATTTGGTCAAGGCAATTGGAGGAATAATTGAAATTTTATCCCATGTTTAACTTCACAGTTAAAACAATGATTCCAGATTTCATTTGAACCCTTTAAATAAATTCCGAGATGAGAAACAATCATTACAGAAACTGTATTTAAATTACACTACACTGGAAACTGTTCAGAGAGAGTCTCAATAAATCAACTTTTACCAGATTCTGTAGTAGAGATGTGTTTAGGGGACTCTCTATCTTCCTGAGGATGATCTTTCACTGAGCTCTTGGCGTTCTCCCCTGCACTGCTCCCAAGTCCTTCCTCCCCTGCGTCCCCCCCAGAATGGGCTAGATGGTAATAGGCCTGATGCAAAGCTTCAATGTCACTGCTGCTTCGCCCACAAGAAACAGCTGTTGAAATATAAATGTGATCTACAGCATAATCACACAAATACATGAGAAATGTAAAACTCTAATATTATCCCTTAATCTGTTAGGAATGGTAAACAAGGCAATAGGACAAGGCTGATATAAATACAAACATTGGTAATACGCAGCATAGCCTACCAGTATGACATCACAGCAGGCTCAGTGTGTCAAGAGCCTGTCCTGACAAGGTAACTATAAAATCTAACCCCAGGAGTTATTGCCGTCTCTTCCTACTACGCTTAATCAACCCCTCTACGTGGGACAAAACGTCCTAAATCTCCCAAACTGACATAATCTTCCAAGAACTCTCTCTCCCTTACCATTATCACTCACACTCTCTTTCCCTTCCTATCTTTCTCTCTCTCTCTCTGCTTTCCTGTGCCACACAGCATCTTGTAGTCTGCATTTCTCCAGCTGAAATTCACTCCTCTAACTTTACGATCCAATTTCTTCTTCTCTTCAGCCCTGCAGAGACATCTGACACTGCCCCCTACCTGGGGCTCTTCCTTCTGCACAGGTTCTTCTCCTTGTTCTTCCCACTACTGTTTCTCCACCTTTTATGGTCAGTGACTGATCTCAGGGCTCCACCTTTAGCCCCCTCCTAAAAAGCTCTCATTTACTTTGTTTTTGGCCAGGCTAATTTCAACAAGACCCTTAGCTTAACTATTACCCATGTGCTCATGACTCCCAAATCTGTCTTTTGTCCTTTTTTCTGAATATTAAACTTTCTAACAGACATTTAGATTGTTAAGGAAATCATATTTAACATATCCCCAATTGAATTAATTATATTCCCCAACAAAACTTGCTCTCCACTACCTCGTTTTGGCTGATGGCATCACTATTCACCCAGTCAGCCAGATAAGAAGGCTGATGCCATGGTTACTTCACTCACCCCTCCTTCCCTATTGAGCTCCTCTGCTACATACCAACTGATAAATAAATTCTGGAAAAAAGAATTCAAATAACCTAATGACAATAATGATTTAAGATTTTTATGAGTTATTTTCTTACTCATTTTGTACCTTTCATTACTAACAGTGGAATTTTCAGAATTAGAGAAAAGAATACAAGAGTCATAGAAAAGTGGAAAAAAAGAACAGAAACAGGGTGACCAGCCTACTTTTCTCTTGATACCCACGGTCAATTTTAGTGCTTAAAATATAATACACATCCTCCTCTTCCTCTGTATAAGTTGTAACTTGCACAGTATACACTTCTGAGAGGATATTTCCAACTCTAAACATAAGAGGTCGCCAAGTGCCACATATAAGACTGTGTTTAAGAATGCTTTGCAATGGGATATCCTTCTATCTAATGTTTCAGGTTACCACTGCTATTTGAAGCACACCCAATAAATATGATTTCCTTAAATAAATTAAAAACAAAAAAGTAGGGATACTGTTAGAGAAGAATCACTAAGACTTAGGTGGCAGGGATTTTCAGTAGGATCTGAGGAAGAAGATCTTGCCTGCTAAGGTGAGCCTGACTTTCCCCCTAAACCATCCATCAGACCCAGAGGAGCATGACTGAGGGAGAAAATTAATCTTTATGAAAAAAGAAAAAAGGCACAAGGTGTTTTTTTCTCCTCTACAGAAATAGCACAATACTTAAGTATCTGCTGAGTATATAAAAAATATGACACGTAAATAGCATAGCAGTACTGAATGATTATACTTAATTTAACAGGTGTGAGGTGTCAAGAAGAGGTCCTAGGCTTAAAGCAACAGTAAACACTCAGAAAAAGAAATGACCTAAAAGTTAGAAATTAGAAATGGAAGACAGAGAGGTATGAAGGGCTGTTCAGAATAGAGCAGGGGAAGTACTTTTCTCTTGAATCATGAATCCAAACTGATATTAAAAATAATTCCAAGGTCATATGAGTTAATTTTTTTCATGCATTTTATGAAAAGGGCTAACTTTTCTGCCTTTTAAATTAAAAAAGAAAGACCCACTGTGGTCAAGAATAAATTACTAGGGGGAGCAAGGCCTGAAGTGGGCTATCAGTTAGGAGGCTCCTACAATAGCCCAGGGAAGAGATGATGGCGGCTGAGACCAAGGCGGTGCCGGGAGAGGGGCTGAGGGGCGCTCAGATTCTCAGCATGAGGAATTAACAAGGTCTGCAATGATTAGATGCTGGGTGTGAGAGAAAGAGAAGAAAAAAGGGGGACTCCATGGGTTTGGGCCTGAGCAACTAGAAGGGTGACAGTGCTTTCAGCAGAGGAGATGGTGGTCAAGTAAGGAGTGGGGGAGATGAAGAGGGCAGATTTGGACACCCCTGTAGAGGGGAGGAGGAAAGTACAAATCAGGTGTCCTTGAAGCCCAGTGAAGAAAGCATGTGAGGGAGAAAGAAGTGGAGGGACTGACTCTGCTAAGGGCTGCTAGTGGGTCAGCTAAGATGGAAACTGAGCACTGGATTTAGCACCATGGAAATCATTTGCACCATTCATTACTGAAGCTCTCAGGCACTGTACCATGCATGAAAAAATTCAGGTTCTGGGGTGTGGAAGAAGCTGGAAGGAAAAGCAAGCTCTTAACTCCAGTTTCTGCTGCTGTGTGGGGAGTCAGAGCAGTAAGTTGCACCCAGACTAAAAGGCATCATGTTACTGATACCAGCAGGCTCCTCTTAGTGAAGACAGACAGGTAGCAGCTGGGAGTTCAGAAGGAGGATTCCTCATTCGTAGCCAATTAATGGGCTCCTGGAATATGTAATGAAAACAAACAAGCCAAAGTAGTTCAGAAGCAAAGCAAAGTAGTATTTGGAGAGGCGACAGCAGCAGTGGTTTTATGAAGGTGTCAGAGATCTAATCACCGCCATTTCCAGTAAAAAGCAATTAAGAATAATTACCAAGTTCCCTTAGGGAAGAGACTCTGCTTCCTAGCTATACCCTAGCGCTGTCACAAAGTAGATGCACAATAAATATCTGCTTGTTGGCTGGCTGACTGTCATGCATGGTACCTGTTATCTCATTTAATATTCACAACACCCTGTGATATAATAGTCCCAAGAGGAGACATACCAATTAAAAAAAGAAGACAGGACTCTATGTAATTATTTTATATATTACTGCAAGTCAAGATTTTTCCACTTTAGGAAGTTGAAATATATCAAATCTTGTTTTGCAGAGCCAAGGGTCTAGTCATGGAACAATACTGTCACCCTGACTGTTCTAGTCATACAGCCAAAGCTCAAAATGGTACTTGCCCATGAGATAAATGGAAATATGCAAAGGCTAGCTCTGGCCCTCATTTTTATAGTTACCAACCTTTCCAAAATAATAAAGTACAAAAAATTTCATAAATATTATTTTAAAAAGATGATCTTTGATAATGCATCATCTGAACCTGTTTAATACTAGAAGAAACATGGTAAAAAACAAAACCAAACAAAACAACCCACTGATCTTTTTCACTCCTTAAACTGATTTGAAGATTTTCAAATAAATTTTTGAAATACTAGATAAATTTAATACCCCACAATCAAGAAGTATTTATACTGTATGCCTTCAGGTTTTTAATTATAATTTGTACTATTAACAGAGGACTGGTATAAATAATAAGAACCATACCGTTGCTACTGCTGGTTGAATCTTAACAATATATGCAGCACTATACATGATCTCAATCGACCAAACCAAGATCTTGTTATAAAGCGGCTTAGAGGCACTAATTGTCCAATGTTACACAGCTGATAACGGGCCAGGCTGGGAATATAAACACAAGGCTACACAACAATAAAATCATATGCTACTATCTTCCAGTAACTGACTCATCAAATTATTTCCGAGTCAAGAATATTTAAGAAATAAGACCAAAACACTGTAGTTTAATATTACTGCTTGGATAATCTTAATAGAATTTTTATTTTCAGTAATACATTTTTTTATTTCTGAGTTTTTCTTATAACCTACAGCAGTAATATTCATACTGTGTTTTATAAAAAACACGTTTTCAGAGAAAATCATGGGTTCTACAGATGTTTGGAATTTCATTTAAAATTATCCTTTAAAACATAAGAACTATAATAAAAATTAATCTGTACATGCAAATGTGCCATGTATGTAACTGTAATATTTTGAAGGCCACTGGAGTGGTAACTTTTGTCTCCTACTTTGTTTACATGTGTATCCTAGAATAAAGTTTCTCTGGCCATCCTGTACATATATGAACTTCCTTCATGGGTCTACAAGATCTACACTGGTCTTTTAGAAGAATTCATGTCTGCTTATGAAAATTGTACAAGTGGACTATCATGGCACATATGTTTCATGTATATAAATAAACAGCAGTAAGACAGAGGAACATGTGCTCAGCACATGCTTCCATCGTGGCAGAACATTCTACTGGGTAATAACAAGTAAGGGAGTAACATGTATTGATGGGAAATTCTGTTGTCATTTTTTCACTTTCATATTTGTATTTTCATATACAAGTGGATGAAATAAGATAGTGGTGACTCTTAGAATGGCAGTGACTAGAAAGAGGAAATCTGAGCGGGCTTTGTGGTTTCAGTCATGTTTTGTTTTTTTGATCTGATTGCCGGTTACATGAGTGTGTCAGTATTTGAAAGTTCATCAACTTGCACTGTTATGATACACTAACTTTTATATAGGCATATTACACTTCAATAAAAAGTACAAAGAAGTAAAAAATAAAATGCAAGCAGATGTTTGGAGTTGGTTAGTGATTTATCATTTCTATTGCTCTTTTTTCCCAAGTGTCTGGATTGGTTTAATTGAGGCTTGCAAAGCAAGCTAATTAAGAAGTTCCATGTGCAAGTATTTGTGCAGTAACCCAATAATATTTTTATACTATACTACAATAACAAAATATAAAAACATATTGGAAGTCTGATGATGATATAAGAATATAACAAATGCCTGTAATTTCTGATTTCAAAAATTCAAAAATTTCAAAAGACCATTATTGTTCTAACTTTATAAGTAAATATTACAAATGTAAACATGTTTATACCAAAAAAATACCATTTTTATCTACACACAGAGTATACTACATGAGATTTCATTTGGAAATAAGTATTCCACCTACTGCTTTAGAAAAAATTTTGAAAAAACAATCTTAAAGACCTTTACAACTTTAAGTGTAGATGGTCCTAGGCATTTCAGAATTTGGAGATGTGATCTAGCTTTTTGCTATACACAGGGAACTACGGAAAATCAAAGTAAGTCCAAAGTCTCATTTCTCCTGCACATGGCAATTTTAACTGGACACTTTGGAGGGCCATAGAAAATTAGTTACTATTTCCCTACAGTGCTATACTTTTTATCAACAGCATTTATTCATTTATTAATAAGTATTTATTTGAAAACACACTTGACTTGGCATACTAGCATTAAGTGTCACTATTAATAAATTCAGATAATTTAAGTTGTCAAATATGGTAGAAAATGTGAGATTTAAAATTTTACTGTCAACATAGTTATCATACATATTATTATATACAACATATATTCCCCTAGAAGTGTAATCAATTAATAGAGAACAGCCAGTTTTTCACTTTTACCTGTTCCTGTCATTTCATTATCAGTTATTTCTGGCAGGGCTTTTTTGGCTTAGTTGTTGCTCTATCCTGTTCATCAAGGTTGACCTCTGCAACAGAGTCTAATGAATCCAGCAGCTCCACTGGAACAACATAAAAAATATATATTAGGAATATAGAGAACTTTGTATAGTTCCTTTAATGGAATATTTTAATTATATGCAAGCTGTATAAAAACGAAGAAATATTTACAAATAAAGAATATGTAATCATGTATCTTTCACAAGCATGCCTTTCTTAAGTACAAGAGATCAGACTTACATCAACATACATTATCTGTGCTTGTATACAGGTCTAATGTACATGAGGCTTGCAAAGCAAGCTAATTAAGAAGTTCCATGTGCAAGTATTTGTGCAGTAAACCAATAATATTTTTATATTATACTACAAAAACAAAATATAAAAACATATTGGAAGTCTGATGATGATATAAGAATATAAGAAATGCCTGTAACTTCTGATTTCAAAAATTTCAAAAGACCATTATTGTTCTAACTTTATAAGTAAATGTTACAAATGTAAACATATTTATACCGAAAAAATACCATTTTTATCTACACAGAGAGTATACTACATGAGATTTCATTTGGAAATAAGTATTCCACCTACCGCTTTAGAAAAAATTTTGAAAAAACAATCTTAAAGACCTTTACAACTTTAAGTGTAGATGGTCCTAGGCATTTCAGAATTTGGAGATGTGATCTAGCTTTTTCCTACACACAGGAAACTATGGAAAATTAAAGTAAGTCCAAAGTCTCATTTCTCCTGCACATGGCAATTTTAACTGAAGACTTTGGAGGGCCATAGAAAATTAGTTACTATTTCCCTATGGTGCTATACTTCTTATCAACAGCATTTATTCATTTATTAATAAGTATTTACTTGTAAACACACTTGACTTGGCTTACTAGCATTAAGTGTCACCATTAATAAATTAATCAATTAATAGAGAACAGCCAGTTTTTCACTTTTACCTGTTCCTGTCATTTCATTATCAGTTATTTCTGGCAGGGCTTTTTTGGCTTAGTTGTTGCTCTATCCTGTTCATCAAGGTTGACCTCTGCAACAGAGTCTAATGAATCCAGCAGCTCCACTGGAACAACATAAAAAAATATATATTAGGAATATAGAGAACTTTGTATAGTTCCTTTAATGGAACATTTTAATTATATGCAAGCTGTATAAAAACAAAGAAATATTTACATATAAAGAATATGTAATCATGTATCTTTCACAAGCATGCCTTTCTTAAGTACAAGAGATCAGACTTACATCAACATACATTATCTGTGCTTGTATATAGGTCTAATGTACATTTAGGTGTAGAAGGCAAAGGGGATGAGGAAAGTAACAGAAAGAAATATTCTTTTTTCCCCCCAGCTTTATTAAAGTACAGTTGACAACTAAAAATTGTAATTTTTACAATTGTAATTGTACAATTTGATGATTCAATATATGTATACATTGTGAATACATGTATTTACCACAATCAAGCTAATATATCCATTACCTTATATAGTTATCTTTTGTGTGCGTGCTGTGAGAATACTTAAGATTTCCCCCTTAGCAAACTCAAGTATACAATATTTTTAGCTATAGTCACATTGTTAGACCTCTAGAACTTACTTATCTTGCATAACTGAAACTCTGTACCCCTTAACCAACATCTTACCATATTCTCCTCACCCAGCCTCTGGTAACCATTATTCTGCTCTGTTTCTATGAGCTTAACATTTTTAGATTCCACACATACATGATCTGTATCTCACTTATTTCATTTAGCATGATGTCATCCATAATATATTATGTATGTTACATTTTCTTTATTCATCCATTGATGGATATTAGGTTGTATCTATATTTTGGCTATTATAATGCTGCAATGAACATGGGAGTACAGATTGTCTTTGAAATATACCCAAAGGTGGGACTGCTGAATAATAAGGTAGTTCCATTTTTTTTTTCAGAAACCTCCATACCATTCTCCACAGGGGCTCCACCAATCTATATTCTCACCAACACTGTACACAAGTTCCCTTGTCTCCACATCCTCACCAAAACTTATCTTTCCTTTCTGATGATAGTCCTTCTAAGTGTGAAGTGATATCTTTTTGTATTTCTCTGATGATTAGTGAAATTTAGCATCTTTTCATATACCTATTGGCCATTTGCATGTCTTCTTTTGAGGAATGTCTATTCAGGTCATTTGCTCACTTTCAATCAATCTGGGTTTTTTTTTTTTTTGCTCTTGAGCTGCATGAGTTCTGTGAATTTTGGATATTAACCCCTTACCTATTATATGGTTTACAAATATTCTCTCTCATTCATTCCATAGGTTGCCTTTTTTAGTCTGTTGTTTCTTTTGTTATGCAGAAGCATTTTAGTTTGATGCAATCCCATTTGTGTATTTTTGCTTTTGTTGCCTGTATTTATAGGACCATATCTAAAAAATTATTGCCCAGTGCAATGTTAAGAAGCTTTCTTCTTGTTTTCTTCCAGTAGTTTTGTAGTTTTGGTCTTTAAGTCTTTGATCCATTTTGAGTTAATTTCTGTAGGTGGTGCAAAATAAGGGTCCAATTTCTTTCTTCTGTACGGGGATATCTAGTTTCCTGAACACTATGTATTAAAGAAACTATCCTCTCTTCATTGTATATTCTTGGCAGCTTTGTTGAACATCAGCTGACCATAGATACATGGATTTATTTCTGGGCTCTCCATTCTGTTTCATCAGTTTTATATCTGTTTTTATGTCAACGCCATATTGCTTTCACACCTATAGCTTTATAATATATTGTTACACCAGGCAGTGTGATGCCTCCAAGCTGTGCTCTTTCTCAAGCTTGCTTTTGCTATTTGGGGTCTTTTGTGGTTGACCAAAAATTTTAAAATTGATTTTCCTGTTTCTGTAGAGAATGACATAGGGATTTTGATAGGGATTGCATGCAGACATGTAGATCACTTTGAGTAATATGGACATTTAAAAAAATACTCATTCTTCCAGTCCATGAAAATGGGATGCCTTTCATTCATCTGTGACTTCTTTAACTTCCATGTTTTATACTTTTCAGTTTAAAGGTCTTTCACTTCTTTGGTTAAGCTTACTCCCAAGTATCTTATCCTTTTGGTTCCTGTTGTGAATGGGATTGTTTTATTGATTTCTTTTTCAGATAGTTTATTGTTCGTGTATAGAAAACAAGACTGATTTTTGTATGTTGATTTTTTTGCTGAATTCGTTTACTAATTCTAACAATTTTATGGAGTCATTAGGGTTTCCCATGCATGTGATCATGCCATTGGCAGCCAGATATAATTTTACTTCTTCCTTTCTGATTTGGGTATCTTTTATCCTTGTCTTCTCTAGTTAGAACTTGCAGCACTATGTTGAACAAAAGTGGTGAGAGTGGGCATCTTTGCCTTGTTTTGGATCTTAGAGGGAAAGTTTTACCATTTTTCCCCTCTGATTGTGATGTTAGTTGTAGGCTTTTCATAGATGTCTTTATTGTGTGAGGCAGGTTCTATTTTGTTGGGAGTTTTATGAATAGATGTTGAACTTTGTCAAATGCTTTTCTGATGTTTATTGAGATTATTAGGTTTTTTTTGCTTTTATTTTGTTAACATGTTGTAACATACTGACTGTCTTGCACATATTGAGCTATCCTTGTATCCAGGGATAAATCCCATTTTGTCATGGTATATGATCCTTTTAATGTGCTGTTAATTGTGAGGGGTTTTGTTTGTATTTATTTTCATCAGGGATATTGGCCTGTAATTTTCTTTCCTTCCCCTCTTCTTGCTTTACTACATTTTACTATTATCAACTAACTTTAAGGTAATTCATATCAATTGTCTCTGTATTCTTTCTGAATAGTATCTTCATAGTATTCCAGCATGTTGTTATCTTGCAATCAATATGTAAGTATTTACACCATAAAACAGGCAAAATCTACAAAATAAGGCTTTTTCTTTTCTTCCAGAATCTTTTTGTTAAACATATATCAACATATCACTGGTTGGGACCCTGTAAATTACTTTTCTTCTTTAATTAACTATGTTTGTTTTTTCAAGATTTACTGAGGCAATACTGTCAAATAAAATTGTAATATATTCAATGTGTACAACATGATGATTTGATATATGTATATATTGTGAAAGGATTTCTGTTAATTACATCCGTCACCTCACATGCTGTTTTTACTGTTGAGAACACTTACGTTCTACTTCCTTACCAAATTTCAATTACATAATACAATATTAATTGCTCATCATGTTATACACTAGATCCTTAGAACTTATTCATCTTATAACTTAATATTTGTACCTGTTTACCAGTCTCTCCCATCCTCAAACCCCCAAGCCTCCTGTACCCTCCATTCTACTGTTTCTATAAGTTGAACTTATTTTTTAAGATTCCACATAGAAGTAATACTAGGCAGTATTGTCTTTCTCTGTGGTTTATTTCACTTAGCATAATGCTCTCCAGGTTCATCCATGTTGCAAATGGCACAATATCCTTCTTTTTTAAGGATGAAAAATATGTCATTAGTATATATAGTCCACATTTTTATTCATCCATCAACAGGTCATTTTCATACCTTGGCTATTGTGAATAATGCTACAACGAACATGGGAGTTACAGATATCTCTTTAAGACTTCATTTTCTTTGAATATATTCCCAAAAGTGGATTGCTGGATCATACGGTAGTTTTCTTTTTAATCTGTTGAGGAATCTTCATACTGTTTTCCATACTGGCCACACATTTATATTCCCACCAACAGTATATGAGGGTTCCCTTTTCTTCACATTCTTGCCAGTTTTGTTATCTCCTGTCTTTTTGATAATAGCCATACTGACAGATGAAGGGTGATACCTCATTGTGGTCTGGATTTGCATTTCCCTGATGATTAGTGAAACTGAACATCTTTCCATATACCTGTTGGCCATTTGTATGTCTTCTTTAGGAAAATGTCTATTGGGATCCTTTGACCGTTTTTTAAAATTCAGTTGTTTTTTGACTATAAAGCTAGATGAGTTCCTTGTGTAGTTTGGGTATTAACCTCTTCTTGGACAAGTGGTTTGCAAGTATTTTGTTCCATTCACAGAATGCCTTTTCATTGTGTTGAAGGTTCTCTTTGCTGTGAGAATTTTTTTAGTTTGATGTAGTCCCACTTCCTTATTTTTGCTTTTGCTGACTTTGTTTTGGTGTTAAATCTAAAAAATCATTGCCAAGACCAAAGTCAAAGAGCTTACCTCCCATGTTTTCTTCAGCTGTTTTACAGTTTCAGGTCTTATACTCAAGTATTTAATCCATTTTTAATTGATTTTTGTGTATCATGTAAGATAATGGTCCAGTTTCATCTTTTGCTATCCAGTTTCCCAAATACTATTTATCGAAGAAATTATCCTTTCCTCACTGTGGATTCTTTGTGCCTTTGTCAAAAATTAAATGATCATATATTTATTTCTGGGTTCTCTAACTGTTCCATTGATCTCTGTGTCTATTTTTAAGACCAATACCATACTGTTTTGATTACTATAGTTTAGTAATATAGTTTGAAATCAAGAAGTATGATGCCTCCAGCTTTGTTCTTCTTTCTCAAGACTGCTTTGGCTATTAAGGCTTTTTATGATTCCATACATGTTTTAGGATTATTTTTCCTATTTCTGTGAAAAATGCCATTGGAATTTGATAGGAAGTGCACTAAATCTATAGATCATTTTAGGTAGTACAGACATTTTTAGAACATCAATTCTTTCAATCAATAAGCACTGAGTATCTTTCCATTTATTTGGGTGTTCTTCAATTGCTTTCATCAATGTTTTACAGTTTTAAGTGTACAACTCTTATCTCCTTGATTAAATTTATTCCTAAGTATCTTATTTGTTTTAATGCTGTGGTAAATGGAATTGTTTCTTGTGATTTTATTTTCTTGAAGTACTTTTGTCTGGTCTTGATTTCAAGATGATGCTGACCTCATAGAATGAGTTTGGAAGAATTCCCTCTTTTTCTGCTTTTGTAAAATTTTAAGAAAGATTGAAACGAATTTGTTTTTGAATGTTTGGTAGAATTAATCCATAATGCCATTATAATACTAGCCTTCTAAAAAAGGAAATATTCCTAAATATAACAAGATGGATTCAAAATAAACATAAGGTACATTTGTTGAGAAAATTTGTGAACTTCAATTCATTAGATATCTAACAACAGAGATAGTGATTCAGAATAATTTAGATGCAATTCTGAACAGACCAATTTTTTTCCAACTAAAATATACAAACATAAATATTTACCATTAGCCAGCATGCCAGTTTTCTCTTCTTCCTAAATTAAAAGAAAACAATCATTTGACTTGAAACCAGTTACATAAGATGACCATGATGCAGATGGTAACAAAATTTGAAAGTCAGTGCTTTTCTCCATTATTAAAAGGTCAAGAAATGTGCCTTCTAGGTTTTTTCTATCACTCTCATTCACCAATAAACCTACATGGTTAGAGAATGTAACTGTGAGAGAACTTCTACAAGTCTCTTCAGAACCTTGGCAATTACTAGTAATTAATTTAGGCTTTTATAACCTTGGTTAAGAGTTTCTAGATGCCATCTGTTCACCTACCTTGCTCAGAAATTCTATTTTTCAAACTTCAAGGTAACATGACTATTTTATACATAACTCCTATTATACCATCACCAGTCATTTTCCTCTTATTGTTTGAAATTAATGATCAAATATAACTTGTAATCATTGTTTCATGCGTATTTTGGAAAAAAATTTTCAAAAAGGCAGGCCATCAAATGGCATGGAAGTTAAAATTTGTCAAAACTGTAAGTTCCTTTAAAGTAAGTTTTCTAATTAGTGCCATCTACATTCTCCACTTGGATAGGCAGTGTGTAGGATCATCCCAATGAAAGAGCTCTAACTCCTTCCTATTTTGATCTTTACCCAGATGGCTCTCTATTAGGGTTCCACATTTAGGATGGCACATTTTTATGCAAGTTGTGCCAAATATACCAAACTATCACCTCTTCTACTGACCTATTTATTTTTCACAAAATATTATAATTGCCATATTACAAGTATAAATCCCATTAAGTACCTAAGAATAATCATGTCACATTAATCTTTGTGTATTTCTAAAGTCATCTTATCTTTCCCTCCAAGCTGAGTAACATAGACACCCAAGGACAAAGTATTAAGTAAATTTAAAAATAAGAGTGTTTATTAATACCTAGAAAGTGTCTCTCACTTCTATTTAGAATCTACGGTTACATAACATCTTCAAAACATCTAGTCCTAATACACAGTTCCAAAAGAGACCGTGTCTGGATCAAGACCAATATAACAAATAGTTATTATTCTACTATTTAGTATTAGGGATCTTCAAGGATAAATTTTACATGGCAAGCAATATGGAAGAGAACACTTGGCCAGTCTTGGTAAGAACTGCGATACCAGAGAACTAGAGTACAGAAACAATGAACGTGAATGTAGTAATTTAGCCAATTAAGTTTCAGACAGTAATGTCACTATTAGTATAAATACTGAGGAGGGGTATTTACTGTACTTCACAAGGACAAGACCTACCAAAGAAAAGTGTGTTTTAATATACCTGTTTAAAAAATAGACTTGAGATTTTAATTAAGTTTTCAATTTCTAAACCTTAAGGAAATTATCTGCCAAAAGAATTAACTATGGTATTTCATTAAGGCACTAAGTTGACTTGCTGATACCTATAACTTTGTAACAATGAGCAAAACTATGAAAAATCTCCAAATTTCATGCTCTTCATATAAAAACAATTAGCTAAGGTGATAAAAGAAGCTTTAAAACTGTCAAATTTATAATTGATATATACCTGTTTGGGTGCATTTATATTTTCTGATATGGAATTTTCTTTGGAATTAGTCTCTTCTTTAGTAGTCAAATGTGCATCAATATCCTCATCTTCAAAATCATCACTGTAATCTTCTGAAGAAAATAATTTTTAAAAATACAAAGATCACAGGGTCAGAAAGTCAAATTTCAGAAAAAGACTGGATTACCAAAGGAAGAAGTCTGTATAAGAATAATTTATTAAAATGTTAACAGAAAGATAGCTTTAGAAACCTTTTCTTGCAAAGATGTAATAGAATTCAACTCAAAAGACAGGTTTATTTCATTTTTCTTGTACTTCAATTAGTTATAAAAGTTTTACCTTTTTAATCTTTTATATTATTAACTGACTAAAATATTATAGGGCTGTCCAAAAGATTTTATATCTTTAAAACAAATTTTAATATGTTTTCAAAGACAAAAATCTCAAACTGTTTACATATGAACTGTTACAATTTTTGTTACAAATCATTATATACAAATTGTTACATATATTAAAACTTTCACATAAAAAAGAACACTGGAATTTTCTAAATAACAGTAGATATAAATTCACAAAACAGTTATCAAGAAATTACTTTGTATTAGACATAATTCTGGGTGCTAGGACTAATATATGATAATTAAGATTCTAATGTCCAAGGTAGGAATGACTGAATTTTAAGTAACCTCAGAGATTAGATTTGTTAAGTAAAAATGATGAACAAGTTGAGGAGACCTGGGAGGGTAGAACAGTGAATTTCGACAATACTCGGGTTTTGAGAACTCCCTGAGATCAGTGGAAGGAGGTGTAGTGTAGTGTCTGCGTGACTGCTGAGAGGTAGTATAAGCAACAGTTCACGTAAAACAGCATAGAGCTTAAGAGCATGACCAGGAGCCTGAAGGCCTGCATTCAATTCCTGGTTCTGCTACTTTCAACTGCAGAACCATCACCAGGTCAAAAATTCTCTTTGCCTCATTTTTCTCATCTATAATGTTGGGATGAAAATAGTACTTATCTCACACAAAAGGTCACTGAGAAGATTAAAAATGAAAGTGTTTAGAACAGTGACTGATATACACTATGCATTATATATACAAGTGTTAGGTGTTATATTTAGTAGTAATAATTGTCTGTTAGTATTATTACAGCTAGCATTGTACTTACTATGAACCAAAAGTTAATAAAGCCAAATATTATTTCTGATTGGGAAAAGTGCTAGTCAATTGTGAATTTTTAAAAAATAGATTTTGTCAACTGCACTTAGCAACTGAATAGTCTATAGGCAAATATTGTTGTCCAACATATTCCTTCCTCAGGAATTTGTCATGAATAAACTAGGTTTGAAGTAGGAAGAAAATGTCACTGGTAGATAGAAATGAGATAGAGAAAACAAGAAATAAAGGGAAGGAAAATAGCACATCAAAGATTCCAGAAAGAAATACCAAAGCAAATTAAGTTTATACAAAAACGGAAGAATAAAACCAAGCCGAGAAGGTGGTGCCCCACTGAGAAATATCAGAGCTAATACCCAGGCTCTCCCATATTGGTTGGAAAAGGAGAATATTTGTAGTGTTCCGATCTTTGCGGGAGGAGGATGTTACACATACAAGGTACTATTTCTATTATTATATTCCCTACCCCTGTCACTTTGAAAATAGTATTTGCATAAATGGAAAATGTTTTTAAAATTCAAATAAACAATAATCAATTTAAAAGCTCTAAATGATACATTTTGGAAACATTTTTCATTGTTAGAAATTAGCTGCAAATTTTGATTCAAGTAGGAGGCACACTAGAGGACTTTCTCCTCTACCATGTTGGATTTTAAGGACTTTGTAAACAATGAGTCAACTGAACAAAATGTATGAAACAACTGTTTTCAGACACTGGACAACTGGCAGCACAAAAATTTGATTTCCAAGAAAAGATTAACAAGTGAGTTGATCCCTAACGTACTTGAAAGTATATACATTTTAGAAAGCTGAGCAGGGAATGTGGAGATCAAGATGGTCTTGTGTTAAGCAGACAGAGATAAGAGATCAGAAAAGTTGAGGCAATTGGAAGTTACAGGGCAGTGATAATGATAGGAAGTACCTACGTAGAAACAGAGCTGTAGTAATCTGCCTGCAGTCTCCTTGAGTATTTGCTGAATACTAATCCATTCTTGTGTAGTTTCAGCAAAGAATAACTGGGATGGTTCAGGCTGGACAATTCCCAGAGTTCACACAGGGTAAGAAGACTGGGGCTTTAACCATCTTGAGTGGAATAAGTCCTCACTGTGAAGTAAGGGCATTCAGCAGAAACCTCAGGGGGGCTGTGCCTTAGCAGTAGTGCCAAACTCAGCTAGGTCAAAGGTCACTCTAGACTTCCCCTGACGAAACATAAGAGGCTGAAAGGATTAAACTGGCAGCATCAACTGCCAGAACGAAACTCAACACTCTTTTAAAGAAGAAAACAAAATCCAGACAATTAACAATGTAAAAATCTACATATCCAATACCCAACTAAAAAAAAAATCACTAGACTTACAATAAGGTGGAAAAAAATGGCCATAACTAGAAGTCAATAGAAAGAGACCCAGAAATGAACAAATGTTGGGAATATATTGGAACAAATGTTGGGAACACATGCAGAATATGCTCAATGCTGAGGACTTGAAAAAAAAATAACCATGAGGGAAGAGACTAAAGAGATTTGGGGGAAAAAAATCCAAAAGGAAGTTCTAGAGTGAAAGAAAAATCATTTGATGAATTAACAGAAGATTAAAGAAAAGAAGAAAAAAGATTAGTGAACTTGAACACATAGCAATAAAAACAGAAGCACAGAGGGGCAAAAAGCTTTAAGAAGGAAACAGTCTGAGTAACTTGTGGGACAGAATTCAGTTTTCTAACCTATTTGTAATTAGAGTCAGGGGATGGGGAGGAGGACAGAAATGATATCTGAAGAATTAATGGCCAAAACATTTTGAAAACAGAAAAAAAACCACAATATATACAAAATAACAATAACAGGGATTACCAGTAACTTCTCTTTATTATCAGAAGATAATAAAATGAAATCATTAAAGTGCTCAAAGAAAAAAAAACTCTACCTAGAATTTTATATCAGGCAAAAGTATTTTTCAAAAACAAAGGCAAATATATTTTCAGACAAAAACAGAGAATTCACGGATAGTACACTTGCACTACAAGAAATTTGTTAAAGGAAGTTCTTCATGCTGAAAAAAAAATACTGGGTAGAAACTCAAAATTAATACTAGAAAGCAACTATATGAAAATTGCTAAGTGAACAGATCTTAAAATTATCACAAGAAAAGCAAATTATTTTTTTGTAATTATGTAAGGTGACAAATATTAACTCAACTTGCTGTGGTAATCATTTTGCAATGTATATATATGTCAAATCAGTATGTCGTACACCTGAAAGATAATATGTTAATTATACCTCAATTTAAAACTAAATTTTAAAAGATTCATTTCAAAATAAAAGTTAAAAAAGGAAATTCAAATCTGTGCAAAGGAATACAAAGCACTGGGAATGGTAAATATGTAGATAAATAGAAATTTTTATATAAATTTTTTATCATCCTTAAGAATTAAGTGATAATATAAAAGCATTAATATTAATAATAATAAGTAATAATGTATTGTGGGGTTTTTAAGATACGTAGCAGAAAAATGTATGACAAAAACTGCAGTGTTTGGAGAGTGTTACTGTTAAGACTTGTATAAACTAGTATAATATAGACTAATAAGAAAAAGACACATATTGTGACTCATGGGGCAACTAAGAAAAAATACAGCAAACAGGTATAACTAACAAGACAAAAAAGGGATAAAATGGAATGCTATAAATAATCCAATAGAATACAGGACAAACACAGTAACAAGAAAAAAAAAGATGGAGAGCTAAAAAACAAATGGCAAACAGTAAATAACCATTGCCAATGAATATATTTTTGTAAAGGGTATAAACATTTCAATGAAAAGTCAGAGGTTAATAGATTGGATAAAACACCAAATCACAGCTATATGCTATCTATAAGAAAATCATTTGAAAAACACAGGCACATTAAATATCAAAAGATATTAAAAGAAATACCCACTCCCCTCCCCCAACCATGCTTTGGAGGTGTTTGCCCGGGCTAAGCACAAAAATCCTTTTTCCTGTCTTCCCACTGGTCCACTGTTCACTGCCAACAAACGATGCAGGAGGGCACTTGCAACAATTTCTTAGTAGCTCAGATTGTAACAGGGAATTCACTCTATTCGTTCAGAGCTCTTCCCAAGATAATATGATTTTCCTTTTAACTATTTTTCTCTTATTAATGTCTTTATTAAAAGCTATATTATCTTTTCAAATATTATAAATGTTAAAACCAGTGAAATTACGTGGCTGTTCATGTTTTGATTCATTCTCCTATTTATCTTCAGTAAATTCTGCATTAGCTTGATTACTGTAAAAATATTTACTTATTTAGTATTACATGTTAATAATACACCTCCATGCAATCCTTTGTGCTAGTTTTAGGAGCTATAAGGATAATGCTTTGAAACTAAAAGATTCTCAAAGTCTAAGACTAACTGTAACTGCCAAATACAAAGGGTAAAAAATGTCACTATTTCTTAACTTCAAACATAAATATACAATTTTATACCTAAATCTATCCATTTACATGTCTCAGGGCCCAGATATTCTTTCTACAGGGAAGATTAGGAATTGACCACAAGTGATGAGACCAGTGAAAGTCTATGTGGAGGCCAGAAAAAAAATGCCAGGGTCAACATTTACATGCCAATAAGCAATTTAATCCTGAAATGGAAGCTGAATAGGAGCCTTAAACTAATAAATATTCAGACAAGCGACAAAGGAGCTTGAGCAAATCACCTACCGCTTTCTTTCAAACCAAGGAATCAGTTCTACCTTCTCCAATCCATCAACCTCGTCTTTAGTGAGATCATTAGCAGATACAAGAAACTATAAAACTACAATAATAAAAACAGCAAACAGCATTGCATACTCAATGCTATGCAGCACTCTGACTACCTTGTTCTAGAGCAGAAATATCAGAGGGTAAGAATATTTTTAAGAAATAACAAAAAGTTAAGAACTATTACAAAGGGTGAGGCAAAAACTTGTGGCCAACAAGCCTGTGTGCTTAATCTGCACGGACACGGTGGGGAGGGGCAATCCGCGCAGGTCCTCGGGTGGCCCTTGGCAGGGCGTGCCGTGAGCTCCAAGCACAGGCGCTCCTTTCCCAGGGCGTTTCTCCGGGTTGTGCTGGCAGAGAGACCTGACAAAGCCAGCAACAGCATCGCCCAAAGAGAAGGCGTGGCTCCACTAACTGTAAGAGCAATAGGTTCCGCCAGCTCAGTGATCCTCTCCTGGGAAGCAGCCGACTGCGCGTGCAGACAGCCATCATGGCGCGGTGCGCTGCCTCCGAGGGCCTTGCGGGACATGGGGAACTGAGGGAAGTAACCATGACACGCGGGCACTGCTTTTGTTGTGAGGAATAGTCCTTCATTTCTGACCCAGGAATCCTGTCTCTCTAATCGGCATCCACGGAACTGGCAGGCTAACTTGTCAGCTTGCAGGGAGGGTAAAATGAGGCAGTAGTGCCCTGAGGAGACATGTCAGTCCCCGCACGGCTAGTTCATGACAGTCACTGTACTGCTTTATCCGCTGTCGGCAAGAACCTACGCAGCCTGAGGGGGCCAGGTACTGCACATCCAGAGGTTATGATTCTCTGCTCCTTACTTTATTAACACTTGGTGTTTGTGAAGTTGTAATCTGACTTCCTTCTGTAATTTTAAAACTTAAATTGAAAACTGAACCTGAGGAAATTTAAGATACCAGGCGTCACAACGGTGACAATGTCAAAGGTCTACTGTACGTACCAGAGGACCACTTCAGTCAACCAGTAGGATTTCCAGGATACACGGACACCTCCTGATAATCATCAGGGTGAACCATCCACGAAGGGAGGACACAGACCAACCCTGCCTGCTTCCCCTTCTTTCCTGTTCCTTTTCTCCCTGAAGCTATATCAGCTCCCTGGACTTTCTTATTTACCCTCTCTGTGGAAAATCACTTTCTAATTACTTTCCTAGTAGGATCTTTTTGGCAATGTACTGTTAGTCTCCGTATCTCAGGCATGAAATTTCAGATATCTGGAGGCAAAGAGGGCTCTCGAATACAAATCAACACACGCCATTCATGTAGCAGTGATATCCTGACCAAAATAATGAACAGAGAAAAGACTTAAAAATGAGATCTAACCTTTGCCTGTTACAATGTTTACCACTAAGTCCACGCAGATACCACCCTTCCAAAAACATACACATGAAAAGCATTTAATGATTAGTTTATGTTGAATTTACATGACCTACGTAAAGCTTTAAAATGTATGGAGTCATTAGAATCTAATTCCTTATTTAATCTTGAATAATCAATGGAAGATGTTAAGCCTTTCTCAAGCCTGGCAAAAAATTGTTCTTTTTCTTCTTGTTCTTCTAATGTGTCCAGCCCCAATCCGAGGATACTGTGATTGAGCTCAGAAACTACCATCTCTAAATGGGAAGCATAAATATATTTTATTAATGTACATAATTTTGAAAAAATTAATTATAATAATGCCTTTTTTGACATTTATAGTAAATTTTTTAAAAATTAAAACATACTTTAATCTTTCACCCACCAAACAGATTTATATTCATAATCAATATGTAAGGTTATAATGCTTTTCTAGATGTGTAATTCTAAGCTATTAAAAGAATTAAAGGTATGACAGCTGTTTCATGGTTCAGTCAGTAAAGGCAGCTCCAAGAGTGTTATGAATTAATTTTTGTAAAAATTCTGATTATAAGCACAGTAATTAGCCTGTCAGCTCATATCCCTTAAATTTCTTACCATTTGTTTCTAAACTGTCAATACTTAAGACAGACGTTCCACTGCTCTTAAGAACCTGAACCCGTCTGGCAGAGGGCTCCTCTGTTTCCGTAATAGGCTGAGCGGTCTGCTTTGTTTTCAAATAGCTTACATTTGTTCCAAGCAGTCCTAGGGAGGAGAGTTAATATCATTAGATATTTATGTTTAGGAAATTTTTTTCAGTACTATATCAACTCAGTAATACTGTTATACTAATTTTGTGGACAGTAGCTACAAAATAAATCTTGGTTTACTAAATAAGTATCCATCAGACCTAAAATTCACAAAAGAAAAATTTAGTTCTACTTGCTAGCAGTAGATCTTATTAGACAGACTATTTCAAAAATTTGCATAGTGAGATGATATTTTAACAATTATTTTGAAGCACAAGTATTTAAAACAGTATACCATGCCACCTAAGAGTATCTTCAGCCTTATATGAAGAGAAGGATGTCACTAGGTGAACTGGAAAACAGAGACAATTCCAGAAGGAAGAGAAGGTACAAAGGGTCCACAGAACACATTTGAGGGTGTGTGCAAAAAGGCCAGGGAGGCTGGATGCAGAGAGTAAGGGCGCATCTGGAGGAAATAAGCCCGGAGCGGGAGTTGATGGTCAGACCATTCTTGTCCTCTAGGCCAGGTAGGGGTTTGCTCTTTATTCTAAAAGCAATAGAAAACTGAAACACTGAGAAAGTTATTTCTCCCTCAGAAGGTTCTACACTTTTGATGTCAGGAATCATATCTTGGCTTTGTGTGCTAGTGTCTAGTACTCAAAACATAACATAAACTCAATAAATATCTGTGCTGAATGAGGGACCTGGTTATGGCCTTGGGCCGAGAAACCCTCTCCCTTGTTTAAGTGGATACTGTCAGTTTGCTTCTTAAGTATCCTTCTTTGTCTTCCTTATTAATCAAATCTACTTCTGACTGACAAATTATTTTTTAAAAATTATTAGTACTTCAGTCAATTTACATTCAAGTGTTGGTCTATGGCCCAGTCATCTTTCTTTTTAGGGGTGAGCTGCATACTCCATCTCTGATTCATTACTTTCTAGAAGTGAGACTTTAATGCTAATAAAATTTCAAATCTGTCAACAGTTCCAATAGTACTTCATTATATAATATCCTTTTCAAGCACCAAAGGGGGAAAAGATTCTAAAAAAGAATTCCTTACATGCAAACTTCAGCACTGTTGCATGGTTTGGGGTTTTATGAAAAAAATGCACTGAATTTTTCATTAAGACAATTCCTTACTGTATAGTATTATGAAGAACAGAAAAGTGACTATCAAATTCACTCTAACATTCATGTATCAAACACATTTTTATTTACTGTTCAGAGTCAAGGGATACAAGAAAAAGATGTGTTTCCTGCCCTCACAAAGCTCCTAACCTCAGTGGTAACCTTATAGGCTAAGACTATCAACACAATATGTAAAGGAGAAAACAACTATGTTACAAAGGAAGCTAGAAGAATTAGGGAAGGAGTGCAAAAAAGAGGTAATGCCAAGCTTTACTGGACAGGAAGGATGAGAGGAAAGGAATTCTAGTGGCAAGAAAGCATGAGCTAATGCACAGAGGCATGGAGCCAATGGCATTTCCAGGAAATGAGGAATAACTGAGTGTGGCTGGAGCACATGGGGCCAGAAAAGGAGGGTTCTAATCAGACTACCTAGAGCACTAATCATCACATTAAGGAATCTGGGCTCAATTTTATGTGAAAAAAACAAAGTCATGGTAAATATTCCCCTAAAGAAGAGATACAAAAATCCTATCAGTTTATAAAATGGTGCTTCATGATCCACAAAGAGTGTGAAGGTCGGTACTTAACAGAAGTGGCCTGGGGTTCCTTACAGACCCAGCAGTATCCCGTATAGCAGGCATACTGAAGAAACATCCCAGAGTCATCTCGCATTTGTAAACATGTGACCAGGAATAGTTCTGGGAAAGCTGTACACAAGTACAGACAGACTCAATAATTAGTTTTATTACCATTAAAGCAATAAACTATTTTTTACTATTATAAGTAACAGATTGTGATATCAAAGTCTATAGATTTGTTAAAACCTTTTCAATGTGATGACTAATTAATATATTGTCATCATATTTTATTAAATCACCTTAAATTAATTTACCATTAAATATAATAAGTAAATGTACTGGTCATCATAATTTGAGAAAATATAAATTATCTCAATGTAAAGTAAGTGAATATGCAGAAGTATTTCTCAATTATGTAATAAGTAATAAAGAAAATCAATTCATACCTCAAAAATTCATGCTCTAAGTATTACTATTTTTTATATATTATAGCAAAGTAACAAAATCCAGAATTAAAGTCTTGACTGACCCCTTGTGGTCACATCATCTTAAATTAAAAATGAGTAATATTTACCACCATCTTCAAAATCATCTTCACTCATCCACCATGGCACTGTATCTTTCATTTTCACTTCTCTTTTGGGTTGTCTTGGTGTTTTGTTTGACTTTTCAAAAGATTCGTCTGAAAGCTGAATCAGATACAAGTTACTGAATTTAAATTCAAGAATCCCAGATTCATGACTAAAAATATTCAGCTGCCACACACATGAGCAGTACTCTCAGCAATAATGGATAAATTCGTATTTCTAAACATGTGGCCAAAACAGGTTAAAAATCAAGCATTTATCTCTGAACATTAATTTAATATCCAGAATTAAACATGTAAACTAGCCAGGGAGAAAAAATCAGCTACAACAACAATGAAATAAAGACAAGGCGACCAAGCAACTTAATCAGGAAAGGAGAAAAAAGGATGCAGTCCCCTTCTAGACATTCTCTCAGACCTAAGAAAAAATAATGACTGAGCAAAATTACCTAGCATCGGTCTAGAAGAACACAGAATTCTAAGATTGGTTAGAATTGAATTTTAGGCATTTACCAGAGAAATGAGCATTCATCGCAATGATTAATAAGCTTTAATAAGCGTTTATTTGTTCTTTTCTGCTCCAAATTTTACTAATTCTAAATCTCTGCTCTAACACCAAGCTACCCTCCCTTGCTCGCAGCCAATACTCTGGCCTTTGTCTTCACAGAGAAAATAAAGACCTTCAGTCAAAAACTACCATCCTTCCCCTCACCCTGCCACTGAACTCCCCTACCAAGACACTGTCTTCCTGTCACAGAAGAGCAATTCTTTCCTCCTCTCCCAACAGAACCTGCCGAGGGGTCACTCCCAGCTCTCCTGGTTTTCTCACCCTTGGGTATCCCGTGTCATCTCGGAAGCTCCCCCGCCTCCTCTTTCCCCTCCTGCCTCCCCTCAGATCATAAACCTGCCCACCACTGCATCCCCAGACCTAGCAGAGCACCAGGCACAACCGTGGAATGCAAGCACGAGCACTAGGGTCTACACGACCTTTTAAAAAAAAGAAAAAGCAAAGCAAAAACAAAACAGAACAACCAGGAAGAGTTCCTCATCCCCACCTCCCCTTTACTCTACTGATCACTTCTTTATATGCCAACTTTGTGAGTTCACCACTCAACCCCTTAAAATCTGGTTCCCACTCAAAACAGCCCTCCAGAGACCAAAGACCGCCTACAACCCACAGATGAAGGATCCCTGCCAGTCATCCTGATCACATCACAGAATTTGACACTGGTGACCAACTCCTGCTGCTTGAAAGTCTTTACCTTGGCTTCACAGCATCACGTCCTCCAGGTCAGACTTGACCTCTGTGACCTTTCCCACTCATCCCTTTTAGGAGATCCTGGCTCTTTAACACTAGACTTCCCTAGTGTTCGACTAGGATCGACTCTTGGTCCTTTCTATTCTCATTCTACACATTTTGTCTGGTGCAGAAACCAACATTTATTTCATGCCTGCTCTTTTAGGATATATACCTAGGTTATGTCACCCCTTAAGTAATCTTAAGCAATCCTGAAGCCCAAGTTTCTACTGTGAGTGTTACAGAGCTGGGATTCAAACTGAAGCCTCTCTGACTAAAACCTGCCTGTCTTCCACTACCCTGTGTTCTGGGGTGACCTTATAAACTTCCACACTTCCCCCTGCCAACCAAACAATTCTACCTCAATGACTTGTAAGAATATCAGTTTTTAAATATTAAAAAAAGAACTGATTGTCTTCCCTGACAACCAGGCAGGAAGTAGGAAGAAGGAAAAATATTCTTTATACCATCTGCATTTTAGTTGCATCACTTTCCAATCAGTCTCTAAACTCACTATTGTGGGGGCCCGGCCTATGGCCGAGGCTGAGCCCCACTCTAGCTGGATGGCGCCTGCTTCCTGCTCACCACCCTTTCCCCTCTTCCCTGTTGGGGATTGGCCCAGCAGACATCCGTACCCGTGCACAGCTCGTGCTGCCCGCTTAGAGTGGCGCGTGACACCGATCCGCTTAAAGGTCACGCGTGATACTGTCCCGGATTGGTTGGGTGACTGAATATAAGGGGCCCGCCGGGAGGGAGAAGAGCTTCCCGACAACTGCTGTAACCGCCGTGAGAGATTAGACAATAAAGCCTAGAGAAGAATCAAGACCTTGGGCGTGTTGCTTCGGTCCCTGAAGGGTCGCGACAACTATCACTTTGAAATGTGCCACTTCTCTCTCCTCCCTACATTTCACTGTTTACCAAATGCAGACAATCTGCCTGAGACTCAGTCTATTCCTTCTAAACCCCATGGCCTCATAAGAGTGTGGAAGAAGGAGTGTAGGTTTTAGGGGCCAGGCAGATTTTCAGACTTTAAAATATGCTAGCTCTGTTGTTTAGGGAAAGTTACCCCTTTTTTTAGTTTATACATCAGTTATAGTCATAGTACCACTGACCTTGCAAGGCTGTGGCAAAGATCAGAAAAAGAAAAGGAGAACACCCACCACCTACCACATAATTGGTATTTTCACCTTCAACAATCTTCTGCTTTCCAGATTTCTATCATTAAAAACAATCAAAACAAAAAGCTGGTCGCCAGACAACAACAGTGCTGGCAAAGATATGGAGAAACCGGAACGCTTCTCTACTGATACACCACTGTCAGGACATAAAATGGCACAGCTACTTTAGAGAACATCTGGCAGTTCCTCAAAAGATTAAACATAGAGTTACCATATGACCCACTGTTTCCACTACTAAATATATAAACAAGAGAAACAAAAACATAGTCCACACAAAAACATGTACACGATGGTTCACAGCATTATTCATAATTGCCAAAAAGTGGAAATAACTCAAATGTCCATCAACTGGTATGTGGCTAAATAGAATGTGATAAATCCATATGGAACACGGTTTTGCTATAAAGCAGAAGTACTGATAGATGCTACAACATAGATGAACCCTGAAAACGTTAAGGGGAAGAAGGTGATCACAAAAGACTCCATACTGTATAAATCCACTTCTATGAAATATCCGTAAAAAACATATATTCAGAGACAGATTAGTGGTGCTTAAGGCTAGAGAAAAGGGTAACTGTTAATGAGTACAAGGTTTCTTTTTGGCATGATGAGATGTTGTGAAAGTGTTTGGGTTGATGACTGTATAACTCTGTGAATATATTAGAGAACCACTGAATGGTACACTTCCAATGGGTGAAGTGTATGGCATATGATATCTCAATAAATCTGTAGAAAAAAAAGGCTGGTCTCACCAATCTCCTTATAAGCCAAGATATGTAAACCTATCTTGAACAAAGAGTTTGAACAATAGTTTATCAAAATGACTAAAGAAGTTAGCGTTGACTCTAAAATCATGGTTTTCACTGTAAAAAATGAGACACGGCCTTACCCAAATCTCTAACATGAGGTAAGAGCTTCCGTGAGTTGAGGCTGAATATGAAAGGAAGGGAGGGAGGAAGAGGGAGAGAATGTTGAAGGGGTTGTAAATGAGGGTTGGGAAAAAAATCGGTCTGTAACTGCTTTCTTTTACAATGAAAATATTTCTTGTAGACCTAATTTTCAAAATGTGCCCATTTTTTACATTAAAAAACTCAATTTTCAAATAGGAAGTGGTACTCATACCCTGAATATCTGCTACATCCTGGCAATTGGTGAATGTTCTTTTAAATCCTGACAACAATCCTACAAAGTAAGTACTATTTTTCCCATTAGATAATGAAACTGAGGTTCTTTCTACTATCAACGCCCTTTATGAACAAGAATGTTAGCGTAACAGTTTAAAATGTCTCTCCTGAATGTCCTGCAAGGCCTCTCCATGTATATAAGTACCTAGGATGTAGTACAATCCTCTTATTTATTCATTCAGCAAATATTTATTAAGCATCTATTCAGTATGGCAGGTATAGCAATGAACATATAGCCATCACATCACAGACCATACATTCTTATGAGAGAGAGGCAGAAACCAGACCTACACAAGTAAAATAATGAATCATGCTAAATGCCACACAGAGCATTAAATATGTGGTCCACTAAGAAGTGCCTTGGTGGTCACTTTTTTACTGGATAAGCTCTCTTAAGATGAAATCTTCAAGTAGTGGTATTTAAAATGAGATCTTTGACAGCCAGGGAAAAAATAGGGGAACAGCATTATTGGCAAAGGGAACTGCTAGTGCAAAGCATCCCTGGGGGAGAAAAAAGGCCACTGCAGTGTAAGTGGATAAGGGAGGAGAGTAGTATAAGGTGAGTAAGGTAGACATGAGCAAAATCACCCTGGGCTTTATAACCACAGGCAAGAGTTTGGGTTCTGTTCTACGTAATGGGAAGCCAACAGTGTTTTACATAGAGGAGGAACAGTCTGATTTACAGAACAATCATGCTGGCTGCAGTGTGGTAAAGCAATGCTTGGGAACAGCTGCAGTAGCCCAGGTGAGAAGACTGTCCTGGACTAGGATGGTAACAGTGAAAAGGGAGAGGCCTAGGGGGTTGATAGATATATCCTGGAGGCAGAGTTACAGGGTTTGGTGCTAAACCTGTGACACTGAACAAAGGAAATCTCATTTACAATGGACCTGGGCAGCCCAAAGTGGGAGCTCTCACACCCTGCCAACCCCTCAACTGCAAAGCCTAGGATGACGCTTACCTTACACTTTCCAACAGGAAAAAGCCTACTTTACTCCCCCAGCAGGAGGCAGGAAGGTTTTCTCCAGGCCCAGCAACAGCCCATCCAGTGAGAAACGTCTACAACTCAGCCAACGGGAAACCACCACCCTGAACTCTGGCTTTCCTCCCAACGACTTTCATTCACAGCGGCCCCTCCCGGCTTCCACTGTTCTCTATATAGTAACATTCCTCTCCTTTGATCTCTGGGCTTGCCTATCGTTTTGCCACAGCTTGCATGTCCCGAATTGCATACCTAAATTGCTATTCCTAAATAAACCCATTTTTCTGGTAAAATAACTGGCTGCTTTATTTTCGAGGTTGTCGTCACTTGGTGATCAGAAGTAGGACCCAGATGTCCTCCAACAACACTGAGGCTAGTGAGCGCCCAGGTGCTGATTCCCTCTGAGCTGAGTGCTTTCCGGCTGACCCTGGGTTGGAGGGTCAGTCCCTCTTGGATCCACGCTC